GATCCTAGCAAAAACAAACAAAAAAGAGTAGTTTGCCCTCTACCTCCTTATTTTAAGGTAGTTGCTTGATTTTGAGATGCTAGAGTTAGTGGGATTCCAGCTGCATTTACTTGTCTACACTTTGGCTATTTTTATGTAAAATGAGAGAATAGCATCTGCCTGTTGGGGCTATTAGGAGCCCTGGTGGTGTAGTGGTTACACAGTGGGCTGCCAACTGCAAGGTTGCAGTTCAAAACCACCAGCCACTCTCTGGAAGAAAGATGAGGCTTTCTATGGTCGTGAAACCCCTAAGGGCAGTTCTGTTCAGCCCTACAGAGTTGACATGGAATCAGCTCGATGGCCGTGAATTTGAATTGATAAAGCTGTCAAGAGCCCTGGTGGTGTAGTGGGTTAGATGGTATTGGGCTGCTAACTACCCGGTCAGCAGTTCAAACTCATCAAGTCCTCCTCAAGAGAAAGATGAGGCTCTCTGCTCCCATAGGTCTTTACAGACCGGGAGACCCCTGGAGAGTAGCTCTACCCTGCCCTGTGGGCCACTGTGAGTTGGAATCGCTTCAATGGCAGTGGGTCATTGAGCTATAAGGAAGAGTAAATGAATTACTACATATGTATCGAGCGTTTGATCAGGACTTGGCACAGATGAGAGGGCCTCAAAAAGCTTGTGGGGAAAAATGAAAAGATGGTGAAATTTCTCCACAAAATTTTCGAAGCCCCCTTGTCTGAGAGCCCAATAAATCTTAGCTGCTGGTATTACCAGTGGTCAAGGTATTCACATCTTCCCCTGCAAGCCTCATGTGCAACAAAGATCCTTAAGCTTTTGCTTCAGCCTATGCTCTTATGAAACCACCAGCCGCTCCTTGGCAGAAAGACGGGGCTTTCTGCTCCCGTGAGGAGTTCAGGTGTAAAGATCTCCAGGAGCCGTTCTACCCTGTCCCACAGGCTCGTCGTGAGTTGGAATCGACTCAGTGGCAGTGAGTTTAGTTTTGCTGTATGTTCTTAAAGTTGTGTTAACCTCCCCATATTTTGCAGACTATTTGTCGAAAACCAAAGACCTCCACCGATAGACACAGCTTGAGCCTCGATGACATCAGACTTTACCAGAAAGACTTCTTGCGCATAGCGGGTCTGTGTCAGGACACTGCTCAGAGCTACACCTTTGGATGTGGCCACGAACTGGACGACGATGGCCTCTACTGCAACAGCTGCCTGGCTCAGCAGTGCATGAACATCCAAGACACGTTTCCCGTCAAAAGAACCAGCAAGTACTTCTCTCTGGATCTCACTCACGATGACGTCCCAGAGTTCGTTGTATAAAGCCCTCCTGCGAGCAGCCTGCTGTTGCCTGGGGCTGTGTAAGCCATGAGTCTTTTCTCTCTTGCTCATGCCGTATTTTCTTCACCCCAAACTTAGCTCTTCCTTTGTATTTGTGATGGAAACAAAAGCCTGGGGACAATTGCACTTTAAGTATTATGCCGAAGTGACATTAACCACAGAGACTGGGCAGCGACACGGATGCGCTACTGTTTACCAAGCTCTCAGAATTTGGGACGGTGGTATGTGCTTGTTCGTTTGTTTTGTTTTCCAGATCGATTATGCTTAACACCACATCATCCGTCAAGTGAAAGATGGTTTGGATTCATTTGTAAGTTTGTTGTTGTTGATGTTCTTTGTACTTTCTTTTTTCACCACTCCCTCATGAAATGCATATGTTTGAGGGAGGAGAAGGTAGGGTCTCACTTCTTTGTGCAGAGAGAACATTGCCTACTTACATAGCCATTATTGCCTCACTCGGGCTAGCCCAAAGGGAACTCTAGGAAGTGGTCAAAGTCATTTGGGTCTAGAAAGCCAAAGATAAGTGTCCATGCCAGTCCAGAATCAAGAAGACGTGATTTAAGCAATAAGCAGAAGGCTATGCATGATGCGATGCCTTGCGACTCCTTCACGCCTGGTCAGTGCCATATCCCCACGTCGGTCGTCCAGAAAGCTCTAGGACTCCATGCAGTTCCTCATCCAAGTTCACAGATCAACTATGCTCACATCACAAGGTGTATTGTGAAGTTTACAGAACTGTTGTTAAAACTGTGGAGGTGTATTAGAAGATGTTTCTGCTCAGCGGCGATTTTTTTGCTTGCTTATTTTTAATCACTAACAAATTATGGTGATCCTAGTTTCTGCTCAACCAAAGTACCCTAACTATATGCCTGTGTTATCCAGATGGAAATGCATAGAGTGCTTACTTTCTTCACGTGGGTTTCTGTGACCCTTGTGTGATACTTGTCACACACCTGGAGTGAATGATAGCAGCCTTGTGCGTGCCTGCAGACAATCGACTGATAGAGAGTTAGGGTAACTGTGTGCCCACGTGTCTTTTGCTGTGATTCTCAGCCCTGATGGTGTAATAGAATTATTTGGGGAGCTTTGCCGGGCTGGGGAAACACCAATGCCTGGTTCCCACCCTACATCAGTTCAGTCGGTCTGATGGTGAGGCCCCTGACAGAATTACCTGTTCTTTTAAAGTTCACCAAATGGATCTCCCACGTAGCAGGATTGAAAACCAGTGACCCAGAGGATGTTGCTTTGTTTTGAACTCATTTGGAAGGAAGAGTATGCAAGAAACACAAATATATCCGAAAGGGCCATTTTTAAGTCAGTTCCTTCGGTGCTGCCGTTGATGGTATGTCATGACCCCAAGTCAGGAACTTGCTATTAACCTTTTGCTATATGGAAAATGTACTTCACACTTCAGGAGAGAACTTCCTAGCACAATGTCTTTCTATGAGAGGTTTTTAATGATTTAGTATTTTACATTTGTTTACCATATTTTGATACACCCTATTTTCTACCTGCCAGGTTTTATTAACAAAACAAAGCAAAAGCCGTGTATTATTTTCTAAAGAAAGTCATATTTTTATACAAAATTATGTTTTCAGGTAACAGAAATAGACTTAGGGTACAGCAGAGCCTAAGCAGTGTTACTCATCGACGCGAGTCAGTATTACAGAACTGAACAAAGGTGAGCGCGGGGCGGAGCCCACCCGCGCTGCACCACGCGTGCCTGTGCACGATGTGACGTGGTCAGTGTATCCGCCAGAGACCTTGTCAGATGAGCTCAACCTGACCTTACTTAAAGGGAGAGAAATGGGGGGGCGGGGCAGAGGAGATTCTATAGAGATCTATAGTCATGAATTATTTTGCTTTGATCGAAAAAGAACCAAAGTTTCAGATACCAGCATATGTATAGATGAGTCCCATTCTCCGCGTCACAGGGTAAAAGTCTGGCGGGACCCTCTGTGACGAGTTTGTCATTGCATTACCGTGTCTTACAGACGCTCCGGGGGCAAACCCTCGAGGGCCACAGCATGGGGCGGTGCATTTCTTTAGCTCTTAGTTTTTCTTATAAACATGAAGGGTGGGCTTGGAGGCGGGGTCATATTTAATTAAGCAAGCAGGGCTTTATACTCTTCTTTCCTCTCTCCTTCAGCCAGAGTCAGGGTGCAGGGTTTCACCAGCCTGGGGGGCGGTTTGCACACCCACTTCTGATTGGATTCATGGGGCGCCCTGTAGGTTTTCCAGATGAAACATGCTAAGGAGCAGTTTTGCTTTTTGACCCACTGTGTGCAGCAGAATTTCATATATATGTATATCTGGAAATCCATTTTGAAAAAAATTACATTTTTGTATTTGGAAGTTGTTCAAAAAAAGAAAGAAAGAAAAGTGTAAAGCTGTTATTTATTCTGCCTTTGTTACATGTCCATTGCTAGCCAATATACCAATTTGGTATATAATGCCTCTATACTCTTGACATTTGTATTTGCAACAATGAGCTTTATATCAACATAAACTGTAAATAATCCTTTCTGTGAAAGGATCATCATATCAGGATGATACCAAACGTGTGTTTAAAAAAAAAGAAAAAACTGCATTATTTTGGAATTATTTCTGATAGGTATTTCGTGGTAAGATTAACAGTCAATAAAGTTACTTTTTATTTGTCTTTTGAGTGTCTTGTTATTATTACACCTCTTAATTAAGCAAGAAGCAGGCGAATGTTCATCTTTCCTATAATGGAGCACATTCGCCGGCAAGCCCAGAGGCCCAGTGTGATGGAACTGTGAACCCCGAGCCTGTGCTGCGGGAGCCAGCGGAGCGAGCGCCTGTCCATGCACTAGGATTACAGGTGCGCACTCCCACAGAGGCCCACTCGGTCCCTGTGGGAAGAGAAGGAGCTAAGGCTCCATGCTGTTGAGAGGTGGTGGTTGTCAGCTCAGGACTGGTTTCCAAATGGTGGAGCTGAAAGAGCCCTCATTTTCAAGATCTAACAACAATAGATCTATATATTCTTATGAAAATAACGATTGTGACATACTCTTCAAATAGTATTGGAGTGCTGGGTTTCATTTAAAAAAAAAAGCGAGTAAAGTAGTTGCACTTAGAAGCATGCATTCCCAAGGCTGGGTGTGAGGGCAGCTGGCACCCATCAAAGCAAGAGCCCCGAGCCTAGAGCCAATGGACAGGATGCAGAGAGCCCCACCTCTATCGCTACAGGAAGCTCTCGGCCTTCCCTTTGCTCCAGGTGTCTTGGCTCCAACAGGGGCGTGATAATTCAGGGGACTGTGGGAGGGTTATGAAATAAGGTATTGAGTGTGATAATCCCCCCTTGGGATGGAGGTGGGATAGAAGAGGGTTTTCAAATCTCTGAACAAACATTTTTTTAAAAAGCCTTTTGGAAGCCTACAGTCCAAAACAAACGCTTTCTGGTGCGGTGGCGGTAACCTGGGTGTCACTGAGCATTTGGTCAATGGTAAGAGTCACATTTCATTAGAGACAGAAGAAGAAAGTATCTGCAAGAAGTTGCCTCCTTCAGAGCCAAGGGAAAAGTTGAGCTTGCCCAATATCCCATAACTAGTGAGCCGCAGAGCTAAGTCTAAACCCAAGTCTATCTCCAAAATCTTCTCCCGAAGAGAAGGTTCAGAATTTAACAGGATCAGACCCAGAGTTTTCCGAGTAAGGTCAAATGGTAGTTTCTAGAGTACCCACTGTGCCAGGCATGTAAAGCATTCCTGCAAGGTAATGGTTTGACAATGCGGCCTGCCAGGACCTGGGGAGGAGAAAAGGGAGGAGTTGACATTGGGCAGGGTTTTCCTTGGAAGGCGAACTGTGAGCGGGGCCGCAGGGTGAGTCCAAGCTGTCCAGGCAAAGGCTCGGAAGCCAGAGGCAGCAATGCTCCTCACAGTCAGGAGTGTCCAGGGGAGGGCCCAGGGGTTTCTTCTGGACACAGGGAGTGGGGGGGGGGGAGGCTGTAAAAGAAAAGACTGTGTAAGGTTTGAGAGAAAGAGTAGTTGCTGGGTGGCCTGATGGTAGGAAAGTGACAGCAAGGCTAGGAGGGTGACAAGGGCCGGGACTGAGGGTGTGGGAGCAGGGACAAAAAAACGAATTTCAAGAACTACATAGGGAGAAAAATTGGAGGGCACATGCATACACAGTGTTGTCGCTCTTTAAGCTAAACCCTTGAAGTGTGACACATTTTTTTCCATTCAGAAAAGATCTAACTCCTGCTTTTATACAAGTAAGTAAAAATTTACGCAAACTAAAACCAAAACAAAAGTAACTGTCACTGCCCTTGAGTTGATGATGATTCCTAGTGACTCTGTAAGGCAAGGTAGAACTTCCCCCTGTGAGCTTCTGAGATTAACTTGGAGAGTAGAAAGCCCTGTCTTTCTTCGGTAGAATGGTTGGTGGGTTTGAACTGCAGACCTTGAGGATTGTAGCCCAATGGGTAGCCACTACGTCCCCAGGGCGCCGAAATCTACACGGGTACTTCAAATGTTAGAAATTGGCACCATGCTTACAACTGCTGTTTGACATGAATTCTCCAACTTGGCTACTCATTAGAATAACCAGCCAGAGTTACTCAAAATTAGCAATGCCTGTGCCCCAGCCCAGGATCCCTAGTGGTAGTGGTGGGTAAGCTTTGCACTGCTAACCAAAAAGGCCGAGGTTCAAACCCACCAGCAGCCCATAATGAGAAAAATGAGGCTGGCTGTCCCCATAAAGATTTAGTCTCAGAAACCCTATAGAGGGTCACCATGAGTCTGAGTCAACGTGATGGCAGTGGGTTTGGTGTGGGTTTGGTGCCCTCGCCACAGACCTGGTTTATTTCCTCGAGTGGAGGCTGGGCATGGGTACTACCAAAGCTCTGCATGTGATGCCAAGTTGAAGCGGATCGCTCAGCCCGAGCACTACGGACCAGCCAAGCGACTTGCTGTTGATGCACAGTTCAGATGGGTCTTGTCTCCAGAGTATCCGGGTCTAACGCATCTTGTCAAAATGGCATTGTTTGCTTTTTTACCAGTGAAGCTGTCAGCGAGTGGCCCTCTGGAGCACTGAACTCACCGCTTCAAAGGTCTGCACACACCCACATTCTTGAGACTTGATGGTTAGAAGCATATAAATATTTGGCTACGTGAAAGAGTGGGGGTTATAGTAAACTGTTTAAAGGCCTCTCCCCAGCCACTGTTTTATTTGTGCCGTCATTTCTCCAGTGCTTTATATAACACGTTGATCCCTACATCAAGGTAGGATGCAAACAGGTAAGTTACATTCCACCCTACCTTTTGATTTTTTATTTTTAAGTCAACTGAGGAGTCTGCCCTCCGAACACTGTGCTCATGCTACGAGCCATTACTAAGTGGTGGAGTTACATGCTTTCAGGAGCATAATGGAATGTCTATGAACGTGGCCTAGATCTAATTAAACAGCTCATTACAGAGGGCGGTGCTTACGTGTCGTGTCAATAGTGGTCACTTGAGTTGTTCTCACTTTATTGCTGTCATGGTGGCAAGAGATGGATTTCATAAGGACAATAGTGCCTGACTTAGGAAGGAACTATGATCCAAATTTCCTTCTAAATTGGTTGGTTGACATTTTGAATACGTGCCCCCTAATGAGCCCAGAGATGTCAATGGAACTCAAAGGCATGGTCAGAGATGATTTTCTCTTTGTGCGTTAGGAACCAACTGCTCAAGAAGATGCCCAGAGAGTGATCGCACAACCAGATCGAGATCATGGCACCCCCCACGGACCAATAGCTCAGTTTTCCAGCTTCCCTTCCCAAAGTACGTCTATTCCTAACTAGAGGAATGCTTAAACCAGGTTCAGGTAAGCCATATCCAGATGAAGCCTCCTGACGACACTTTCTATCCCCCGACCTCCATGAGGGCCACAACCACTGTTTCCTCATCCATATTCTAGCCACAGTTAGAGCTGCTCAAGCCTGCTTGGCTTTATGAAAGAGTCGGCTGGGATGAAGCCCGTAACTAGCATCCCAGTAGAGGCCCCCCTCTTTCTGATTTGCAGAGGTGGGAGGAAGAGGATAAAGCTCAGAGTGTCTTGAAAGAACAGAAGCGTGAGGATCTTTAGATTCTAGATCTCTGAATTACTACAGGATAAAGCTCAGCCCTGGTGGCATAGTGGTTACGAGATGGACTGCTAACTGGAAGGTCAGCAGTTCAGAACCACCAGCTGCTCTGTGGGGAAAAGACTGGGCTTTCTACTCCCAGGAAGAGTTGCAGTCTCGGAAGTTCACAAGGGCAGTTCCACCCTGACCTACAGGGTTGCCATAAATTGGCATCCACTCAATGACAGAGAGAGGAAAGGTCAGATAGGCTGTGAAGATAGAAGTTCAGGAGCCTGTTTGGGGGCCTGTAAATGCAGCATCAACATAAATGTGTAAAGCAGTAAAACTTGCTAAATGGATTAAAAAACCAACTCTGCCATCAATTCGATGCCAACTCATAGCAACATGTTCATCAGTAGAGCCTTTAGGAAGGTAGAGCCCAAGATTCAGAGTTGTTCTGTTCTGTGCTGCCAGACAGGCAAACCTGGAAATGATCGAGTTGCTCCCAGACAACTTAGTGTGTCCTAGAACATAGGTTAGGCACATTTACAGGAGTATAGCATAAGAATATCCCATGTTCAACGAGACAAAATCCACAGTGCTTAGTATTTAATAAAATTATGGAACTTTCAAAGAAGTAGAAACATGACTCATAATGAGAAAAATACAGAAAAGTAGGAGAAAAGATACAGAATCAGCCCAGATGATAGAACTAGTGCGCAGACTGAGAGTCCTTATAACTATACCCCATGTGTTGAAGAAGCCAGATTAAAGAAGACATTTTCAGTAGAGGAATGAGAGATACAAAAAAAGACCCAAATCAAACTTAGAGGAATGGTAACTGAACTCCCTTAAAGGAAAAAATACACTGAATAGGGTTAACAGCAGATTAGCTCTGGCAGAAGGAAACAATGAATGGATTAGCTGGAAGACAGCAGCAGGGACGACTCTAAATGAAACATAACAAGAAGTTGAGGGCCGGGTGAGGACAGGAACAGGACATCGGCGAGCGATGAGACCAATTCAACAATCTGCATGTCATTGAGGGAGAGAGAATTATAAAAATTCTTCAGAACACGATAGTCAAAATCAACATGCCAATGGAAATGCTCCAGCCACTGCCATGGAGTGGATTCTGACTCGTGGAGACCCCGTAGGGCAGAGAGCACTGCCCTTGAAGTTTCGGAGACCAGAGTCTTGATGGGAGCAGAAGCCCTCCTCCTCCTCCTCCTCCTCCTCCCCCCCGTGGAGCCACTGGTGGAGTCAAACCACTGGCCGTGGAGTTAGAGCCCACAGGTCACCCACTAGGCTACCAGGCAAGAGTTGGAAGAGGAGGAACGTCTCAGAGAATGTTCAACAATAACAGCGAAAACAGAAATACGTAACAGAAAAGTCAGGATCATTCGAATTTCCCAATGTTCAATGGACAATATTAACCTTTACGTCTGGACAGGCAGGAGCCCTGGTGGTGTCGTGGTTACACATTGGGCCGCAATCTGCATGGTCAGCAGCTCAAAACCACAAGCAACTCCTCAGGAGAAAGACTGGACTTCCTATTCCTGGAAACAGTTACAGACCCTGAAACCCCCCGGGATGGG